AAAAATGAGAATATTCTATTACAAATGGGACTTTGTTTCCTAGTATAGAAAATATATATAAAAAAAGAAAATATAGTTGAGACTCATATTGATTATTTCCATCAAAGAAATCCCATTACTTTTTAGTCACATACACATTAATAGAATTGTGTTTTCCAAAATTGATCACATACTTAATGTTTTTTTCAACTGTTCTCATAAATCAGGACACAATCTAAGATTAAATTTTAGGAATTTGAGCTTGTCTTTAGATTTACACCAAATTTTTTTTTTCACTTATTTGGTCTGAGTTAAGGACTTCAGGTGAACTCTTGATGTCTCTCTAGGTGTCCTGTGACTGATCTGGCTGATTGTCCTTAGTTATCTGCTCATGACACTCAAACCTGGCTGGCAGTTTAACAGGAACACAAGGCAAGTCTCTCAGAAGATTTACCTTTAGTAAAAAGAAAGAAAAGGATAAAAGCCCAGGAATAACAAATGTCCTTACCTTCTAAATCACCAAACAAAATCTTTCTCAATAATTTCTTATTGGGAACCTCTATGATCCCAGAATTTTAAAGGACACCTTGGAGTGGGTCCTTAAGAGTCTACCCTCCATGATGAGAAGGCAAAAATAACTATAGCACAAAATATTAGGTACCATGAGCACAGAAGGAAAGAATGACTAAATCTCTTTGGAAGCCACAGGAAGCTTTGCAGCGCAGGTGATATTTGAGCTGGGTGTTGAAGGATGAGTATACACTTATTTATATCCTACTCATTCCAAAAGGATTTAAGGTGCCTTGCGGGATTTGACTAGACAGTAGGGGAGTTGAATAGCCTTTCAGGCACTGAAAGTGCCAAACAGCAGAGGTGTGAAAGGGCACAGTGTGCTTAGCAAGAAGGATATTCTGAGGGCAAACACATACAGCATACATTTGAGCCTGAGGGAAGCAAGGCGGACAGCATCATTTATCTGTAGTATCTTCTAGCAATGGTTTTCAAACTTGAGCAGGCATCAGAATCCCCCAGAGAGCTTTCAAACGCACAGCTCATTGGGCCTCATCCCCACAGATTTTGATTCTGAAGATCTAATTTTGATTCTTTTAGAGACAGACAGATAAGAATTTACCTGTCTCACAAATTCCCAAGTGGTGCTGGTGCAGCTGGTCTGGAGGTCAGACTTTAAAAACAACTTTCAGATTTGTGGATTTTGTTTCATGGCCAATTAGAAATCCTGGAATGTTTATAGTTTGAGAAAGAAATAGATTTGGATTTAGAAAGTTTAAAAGAAGCTATGAGGAGAATCATGAAATGAAACCATTTAGTAGATTATTTCACATATCCAAGAAACAGAGTAAATGAGCCTGAACTCATTTGAGGAAAAATAAAACAGACTTGAAAATGTCTAAAGCAGTAAGATTATTTGGAATTACTGACTATGGAAAACAAGTGAAAAGGAAGGCATTCAGCATGTTGAAATTGTGTTCCAGGGATGGGGATATACTTTTATTTTGGTATCCATCTTGCCTTTTGGAACCAATTAATGGCAAGTACCAATGTACCCCTGTATTGGATTAACCAGGTGATCCCCCAATTCAGCAGCACACAGCGTTTTAGAAAACAGGCTATTGTAGATTTCCACGATAGTCCACAGTATGTGTCTGAGATGCAGAGTATACTTGCATCTTCGCTCTTACCCTTTCTTCTATTTACTCGTCCCAAGCTCAGTTTGCAGAGCCAGTTTCTCTTCCATGCATGCTTCACTTCTACTTTTTCAAATAAATTTGGCCACTGCTAAACAAAATATAACAAAACGTGATGAGGAAAGGACAGACAGAGAATAGAAGGAGGGAAGCCATGTGAAAACTGAAGCTGAAGTTCACATGATGTGTCTACAAGCCAGGAAATGCATAGAGCTACCAGAAGATAGCACAGCTTATGAATTCTACTCTAGTGTTTTCAGAGAAAAAAGGACCCTGGATTTTAGACCTCTGAACTTCAGCACTGTGAGAAATACAGATTTTGCCACAGTTTGTTGTAATTTGTTAAGGCAGTGGTAGGAAATTAGCTTAGCTACCTAATAAAAGTTGACAATGAAGATGAAGAAGCTGGACATTCAGATACAAAAGGAATAATGTGTTTTCCTATGAAATAGTGACAAGCATAGAATATTAATGTAATGTGCCAATTCAGAGTACAGGTAAAAATGGGGGAACATAGTCCGCTAATAGTTTCATTGTCTCCTTTGGAAATAGAGCTATACGTAGACAACACTGATTCATTGAGAAAAGAAAAGGAAATTTCATGTAAGTTGGTAAGCTATGTGGGGATGAGAAAATCGCCCACTGAGTTGTTGCACAAATGAGTCTGATCATCTAAAAAAAATCAGAAACATGAAGAATGATAAAAATATATGGTAAACATTTAAATTTTAAAAATTTGTTCAATTTTAAAAATTTTAAAAATATAAATTTTAAAAAATGTATATTCCACTTATCCCATCTGTCTTGCCACTTTCTGAGAAAGTTCTGGCAGTCTTTTCTCCATGTCTTTATGAAGTATGATCAAAAAATGGCTACCAAGGACCATCCAACAGAAAGGTAAATGTTTGTATAAACTCGGAATGCCCTCATTCACCCTATTCACTTTATTTGTCACAATGCAGCTTCTTGCTCTTCCCTAAAGTCAAAATGACCAAGAAAGGTAAACACTTTTAATCTATTTAGGACCTCAAGGAAGCCATGACAGCACATCTAAAAACACGAAAAAGGACTTCCACAAAGTGGCAAGAATGATGGGATAAGTGTGTTCAAAGCAAGGAGTATTTTGAGGGGATTAATGGCAAGGTGTCTGTTAGTGCAATAAATTTAAAAAAATATATTATACAGTCACTGTATTTTTGTATCACACCTCATACAATTTGTCCCTCATGATACTTTCCACTGGTAAAATTAATAGAAACTATTTTTAAAATGGTCACTTGTCTTTCTAAAACAAGTCACATTATTAAAATTTCTTTAAATAAAATATTCACTTATTGTAACACACAATCTCAGTTCACCAGCCCTTCTGTTTGGGAACAATGTGGTTCCCAAACAAAAGTGTTCCATAAAATTTTGCTTTTGTTCAGCAATTCTGCATCAGGTGGTGAGTATGACCAGGGTCATCTTCCCCAGAACCATGGGACAAATTAAGTTCATGAACTGAGGTACTGATGTATTTAGTTACATTCTATCAACCATTATTTGATGACTTGAATATACCAGAAAGAATTTGAAAGCATAATTGTAAATATTAATCATAATGAAGGAATATTGTAATGTGAAAAGGAGAGGCTATCTTAAAGGGGCAAATACTTCATGTACATTTTAGTAATATCTGTTACATTAAGAGTTAGGCTCCAATAAATCATATGAGTACTCTTAACATGATACTTATTCATTTTTCTTCTTGAAAAACTTACCTCAAAAAAGTTCATAAAATAAAGGAGAATTTGGCTTGAATGAATTAACAAATAATGAATGAATGCAGAAAATACTATTGCTTTGCACAAAATCTACTTTAACGTTGAAAATAATATGGCTTAATATTTTTCAGTTTGCACCAAAAAATTCTGGACCAATCTCCTTTTTTTTTTTTTTTTTGGTTTTTCTCCAGTACCGGGAACCGAACTCACGACCTTGCACTTGCCAGGCAGGTGCTTTTGCCGCTAAGCTAAATCCCCAGCCCCTCCAATCTCCTTTTCAATAAACAAGAAATTAAAATTATTATGGATCTGGACTTCTTTTCCTATATCTTTATTGCCTTAGAATTAAGTTGATGGAATAACATTCCCTTTAACCTGAATTATTCCTTTAATTCAGAGTAAGTTAGAAAATCTAATGAGGAGAATGTTTCTAGGTAGGCATTTGTGTATAATTCTTTCTCATATACCTACTTTATAAAACACATTTTAAAAATATTTTCACAGCCTATAAATAAAGGAACTTTTTCAAAATTACATCTGCACTGGAGCCATTCCTCAGATTAAAGCCAAGAAATGAAAAATCAAACTTGTCTCCTGATCCCATAGAAATATTATAGTGATTATTACTCCTTGGAATGCACTAGACTTCTATATGAATAATATAAAACTTATTTTAGATTAGTTTCATGTTGTTGGTGTAAAATACAGAGTTACGCTAAAGAATATGTTTCCTGGTGTTGCATATAAACTATAAAACAGTACAGGATCTATTGTCTAAGTCATTTCTAAATTTTAATTTAAAACCTAGGGCCCTTATTAGATTCTTTCACTGAGGACAGGGGTGAGCAGAACCCTCCTGAATTACTTAGGACAAAGTCATGTGGAAGAGTCCTTGTACTTCTGGCTAATCCTCTAGTCAGGTAGGCAAATAGAGCTACTATTCTAAACATATAATGCAATCAAAGTCACTATAAGGAAGAAACATTTACAGTCACGTTAAGCAACTATAGTCTTTGTGAAAAAGACGAATTGAGTGAGTCACTGAAATAATCTGATCTGAAGTTTTAAAACTAAGTTTGTGAAATTACATTTGTGTTTAAGTGCCTAAGTGTTTACTATGATTTCAAAATGCCACGTGGTGTTTACTAGTTTATTAGTAGAAACTTGGACTATGTTTGTGTATATTTGAGAGGTATAGCACTTTCACAAATCAATTTTTTTGCCATTAAATTCTACCCATATCTTCTCTCAGTAGTGTGGAATTTTGTTAATACAATGTTTGATATAAACAGTTAACATAAAAGCCATTGCCATTTTATTAAATTAAAGAAGCTAAAATTCACTTTAAAAATTCTATTTGGGTAGTAGAAAAAGTAAAGCCAGCTTTGTGTTGGCATTGCTAGTTTTTTTACTCTGTCTCAATAAGATTTTTGTTGAACTAAAGTCATCTTGCTTCTTGGATTGAATCTTCTTTAACATTTTTAAGCAAGTTTTCATATGAGTATTGTCAAAGAAATATACACGGCAACTTAATAAACTAATAATACTGCTTTACATGTGTTTAGTTTCAAGTTTTACACACACAAAAAGAAAAAATTCAAGTGGGACTTAAATAAACTTACACTGTTTTTAAGACATATAACATCTGTTTATAAAACTGCTTTTTCAGACAAATTGAAAAATGTTCCCCTGGTGAAAGAATGTTTGCTGTTATGTGACATATAGTTAAATCAAATGAAAAATAAGGGCAAGAGGAGACATACCAAAAAATAACTCCACTGTGCAAATATCCTCAGAAATAACCTTGGCAGTCAGACTTTTTCATGTGTAAATATTACCACTGAGTTTGCCATTGTCTATTAAAGTCAGGGGGACTCATGCAGTCATACATTTCTAACTAGCATAAGGGATTTCAGCGTTTGCTAAAGCCTCACAAAAAGGTGTATGTGACTTCTTGTTTTAATTATTTTCAGCAAGAATTTCTGTTTCCATGTTCAACTTTTCTGCTTACTCAGTGTTTTGAAACACCATACTCCTAAAAAACAAAGAGTGATCCCTATTCAGTTGTAAACTATCGGGCGCTATATTGTTTTTGCAAACTTGACTTTCAATTATTGCTTGAGCATTTATATGTTCATATAACAACATATAACCTGCAGTTATGTTTTGGTAATATCTGTATAGACATATCGTCTGAGAAAGGGCTAATGTCTGTGATGGTGGAACTGGCAAATTGTACTTATTGAAAGTCTTCTGGGGTGAGCCTAGTAGTTTGTTTACCTGACTTTGGTGGCTATTAAAGAATGAAAATCATTAGAATTACAAATAAGCTATGTTACTTTTCACAAATACAGAAAATATGTTATACAGAATAAACAGAAGCAGCTTTAGCTGATTAGATTTGATGGGGACTCTGTGCTTTTACTACGTGCAAGATTTGCCTTCCTTGGTCTACTGATTTGCAGGCA